GGGGAGAGGATGCCTTCCGGTTCGGTGTGTGTCTGTGTGGGGGGAACGTTTGTTCATATAACTGGGTAATAGGTGCACCGAAAATAAGGGGCGCAAAGTACTTGCAGGGTAAACGAGAAATACAGAGACCTCGGTTTTTCTGAACAGTATTAGAAAAACTGCCGAGACAGGTTGAGTGACTGGACGGTTCCATACAGATGTGTAATGTGAGTGAGAAATAGAAAACAAAAACCCGCTCATCTTTCGAGACTTATTTAGAACCTCACAGAACCTCATCAACAAAGTGGATGATAACTTTTCTTCCCGTTCTAAACAAATTTTATACTGTTTTCCAAAGTCCTCTAACAAAACGGAACATTCGCGTGAGGTGAGGAAATTCGGCCAGCCCGGGCGTTATCCCTCTGTGCGAGGTGCGCACTGAAAGTAGAAGTCCAAACCGGAGCACTAGCGTTGCCATTATTTGTACTTACATGTCCTCTTTTCCTATAAAATGAATTTATTAGCAATAGTCAAGGAGAAGGCAAATTCATTCAGCATTCTATTAATCAGAAAAATGAGATAACCGGAGGACGGGAGAGGGGTTTGAACACGTGAACTATAAACTAAGGGTCTGATGAACATTTATCATCGTCGACCGGTAAGGTCAGTTATCGACCCAGAGAAAATGCATAATCCTATCTCTGGCTAGAGGTTCATCCTACTAAGCAACCGGCACAGTGCTTATTATCAGACAGACAAACAAACAGACAAACAGACAGACAGACAGATAGACAGACAGACAGACAAAAAGACAGACAGAGTAAACAGTGATCTGTGCGTGCCTGGATTCGTATGCGAAAGAGTTATTCGCTGCAATGCGTTGCTTTCGTCTGACTTACATGTGATTATGGGCCTAATGCCAACGAAGAATGAATATGCTTGTTCGTGTTTCCAATGAATGTGCTCGATTGATGATAGAATTGTCCCGGCTGCAATAGATAAATAGATTCAATAGATTCATAAAATCGACGGGCTTGATTCATTGAAACTTTAAAATATATCGTAAGCGTGAAAATGGAGGCGAAATTGTTCAAATTTCCCAACTTTATAAATTTTCAGTTTTCGTGGGAAGATTATGCTTTGATAAACCAGCATTGTGATATATTTGATTCAGAAAGTCATTTGATACAGTTATGTGGGAAAGAAGCAATCGAGACCAACAAGATCGATTATTGAATAACGAAGAGTACCATGATAATACGAACGCCATCCTGGATGATTTGATGGTACCTGGAGAACCAATGATCCTTCACAATAGTTATTGTGTAGCCCACGCAATTTCTCACATTGAAACAGTGCCCACATACGCAGTGCCCTATATATATATATATATTCTATCGGTGGTTTAACTCACATTATTTTGTTTGATTTGACGCTTGTTTGTTGTTTTCATCAAAGTAAAAATGCAGTTACAATTTAGAGCAAATTGATTGAGCCATTCGCACAAGGTGATGACCGGCAACCGTGTAGCTCAGGGGTAAGGGTTTGAAGTCCCGACCCGGCTGATCGCGGTTCGAGTCCTGACAGGGACACAAAAAGTACGCACTGCTGACGAGTCCTAAACAGGACGAAACAGCTGTCCAGTGCTGTTTGTCGGTTATCACCAACATTTCCGTCGCATTTGAATGCATTGTCTCGTGGGGAATTAACGATTTCCCAAGGAGTGAAACCCACACCAAAAACCATCAAGAGTGTCTGGTGCCTGGGCTAATCCAAGCTTGATACTCTAAATAATTTAGAGTACTTTGATCTACGGTCTGGACTTAAGAAAGGCTATCTTGTTGAGGAGATTTTTTCTAAATCATTCTACTTCGTCGGAAACTGCGTGCCCTGCTGGATCGAGCGCTCCCGATGTTGAATAATGCCGCGGGTTTGGAAATACTTCTCGATCGTTTTACGCAGAAACTGGGATACGGAAGGGTTGAGTAAGGCCGGGAAAACCATGAATGTACTGAAACTGACGGATGTATTAAGGGAGTTCAGCTGGAAGGTCACTTGTCAACCGAAGGCCTTAGGTGCCAACCCACATGAGCTACAGCAACTCTCGGAAAATCAACGTAGGAGGTGGCGGCCATTTGAGCAGATTACAATCAGAGAGCCGTCAAGAAGGAGAATTTCGAGGGCTATAAACCAGAGTGCTGGTAGAACAATTACCCCGAAACACAGAGAAAGTTGTTCATGAGAGAACCCCTGATTTCATTCAGATCGTTGCCCCCGGAAAAAGTCGTCTTCAAAGTGAGTGACCAGTCTAGATTTATATGGATAGTGGGAATCAGAAGGAGCTGTATTTTTAGACACATATACTACAGTTTCATTGGAGAAACCTCAGTCAGCTGAGGTTTTAGAAACTGGGATTCAGTGGGGCAGACAAATGACGAATATTAGTCGCAATTTGATAGCGCAGAAAATTACACTGTCTTATCGATAACAGAACGGACAAGCAAAATTTGGTCAGATAGTAAAACAAATTCAAATGGAAACCAAGTGTACTTCCCAAAGTGTCAGAAACCAAATGCAAGCACCATGTCGATGGATAGGTCGGCAAGCCTAGCTTAGGAATGTTATTTACTCTCCAGATAAGAAAGATCATTCAGAATACGGAAAGAAAGGCAGTTGGTGAACAAATTTCCGGAAACAAACGACAACAGGTGTGTGTGTGTGTGTGTGTGTGTGTGTGTATCAAAGTGAACACGATAGATGGCGCTGGGACAATANGACAATAGTTGTACACCTCAGAGTTGTCACAAAGCAACCGCCTGCCCAGATCATAAAAATCGATCATGAACCACGGGAAGTTGTCAGCCGGAGACAGACCCTTTCGACTTGTCAAAACAAATATGTCATTGCTCGTTGCATGCGGAGATTATTTTCACCGGGGCACCAGTGATATGAGGTACTACTCATACTTGTAAGTAGTTTGCACGCACCAAGAAGCGGTTATTGAATTCCCACGGAATTCGCAAGTGGGTTGAGGGATTTATTTTCGCAACTCTCTTCGTCCATGCACTGTCTTGTGGATATATATAACGTTAGTAGTAGTAGTAGTAGTAGTAGTAGTAGTAGTAGTAGTAGTAGTAGTAGTAGTACTAAGTAGTAGTAGTAGTAGTAGTAGTAGTAGTAGTAGTAGTAGTAGTAGTAGTAGTAGTAGTAGTAGTAGTAGTAGTAGTAGTAGTAGTAGTAGTAGTAGTAGTAGTAGTAGTAGTAGTAGCGCAGTGATAGAAGTTGGCACAAAAAAAAATGGTACAGAACCGGAATATAAAAAGCAGTTTTCATGACGAGTATTTTATGAATGACTGAGTAAAATTTCCTAAGAGCACCGGACCGGTTTTGCGGTTCTTATCACTCGTCAGGTATGCGCATCCGGTACTCCTTTGTATGATCATTCTTATATTCTTGAACTTTAGTTAGTCAACGTAAATCTCATAAGAATGACCAGGCAAAAGATTATGGGATACACACAACTGACCAGTGGTAAGGACCATAAAACCTACCATGTGCTTCTGGGAAATTCTGCTCAATCATTTATATACTACTCATTAAGAAAAGGCCGAAAATGGGTCCTAGCTTTGAGTTGGCTGAAGTTAGACTTATCTAACTCACAATATTTAATACAGAATCAGCGCAATGATTCTTCACGGATTGTCCTCCTTGAATCAAATCCCCGAGTTGCCTAATGAAAACAGAGTCCCTTTAACAAGTCAATGTTCGAAACAACCCGTGCACAAGGAAATTAGCTTGTAGCTCGTAGATCTGGCCACCCTATCAATGTACGAATAATACAAGCCCGGAAATATCGATCAATCTATCGCTATCAATGATCGAGAATTTTCGGCAGAGGATCAGTACAAGAGAAGAGAGGAGCAGAGCTCGCCAGTGCGTGACTGAAACTACTAGTTTAGATAGTTTAAACAGTCAACAGATCGCGCATCAGTCTGTCGTGCAGTTGGAAGTAAACTGTGTATCATCGAAAGTATGGGTGGTTTGGACTTGAATTCGAGCAATGCACCTATTTATGCACAGCACTTTGGCATGCATGTTGGTAGTGTTAGTGCAGTATGGTCATCCTGGTCTCCGAGAAAACACCAGCAACGGGCTAACGCTTTCCATTTTCTGGACAATGAACGACAATGGTGCCAAATAATCAGAAGCCGTGTGATTCAAACGGAAGCTGTATAGCGACAAGAATGCAAGCAAGCTATTGGCAAAGACTAGTTTAACCAATGATGGTTCTTTGTACATATTATTTAATCCCATTGATTTTCCTCAATATACGAACCACCACTTCTGTGACCTTTTTCCTGCGTCTAGGTGACGGGAGCTTCCCGCGTACGATTGCCTGTGTGATTCCATCGGGCGTTTGAAACTGTGATTCTTGATCGTTGATTTATCCATAATCCGACTACTACGGGTAGCCAGGTGCTACTTGAGTCGTATACTAGTCGCCTAGTGAAGCACGGACGTTACAACCCGCTTTGGTTTTTCCACAGTGCTTCTGAGCAGTAGCAGAATGATGTATACCATGTGGAACTGCAAAATACGTGATACATCTCCAGTCCAGTCCAGTCCAGTCCAGTCCAGTCTTCACAGGACGAATAATGGCCCTTGCCAATCGAGCTTCCAGATTATTATTGTGGTGTCGGTGGGTGTTCTTCGTTCCCAACACTGCGTTGTTTGAGTTTCTTTAACCAGGTTTTCTCAGTCGAGTTGGAAAAGAGAAACCAGAAGAAATCTCTTCTAGCCTCATCGATGAGAGACCTTAGTTTTCTGAAACATACCAGTTTCAAGTGCAATTTAAATCCCCAATGCCATAGTTCGGGGCTGCAATTTACCTGGCTCTTAGTGATGATACATTACCACCTAACCTCAGGGAACATTTCCGACCAACACGCATCCAGTGCCACCTTGAAGTTGTGCACATTGGTGCTATTGACCACTCCCCCGGGTAACCTGTTCCACATTGGTATGACCCTATGTGCGAAGAAGTTGGCTCGAACCTCTAACATAGCATGGTTCTTTTGGAGCTTGAAGCTATGACTCCTCGTGTTTTGAGCATGAGAAGCCGTAAACAAGTCATCTGCATGGAGTCCTGATAGCTCTCTGACTATTTTAAAGGTCTCTATCAGATCTCCTCGCAGTCATCTACGTTTCAGCAGAAAGAGATTTAGGTCTATCAATCGCTGTTCATGGCTTTTTCCCTTTTTCCCAGCTACCATTCGGGTAGTAAGTCGTTGCACCTTCTCCAGGCATGATATATCCTTTCTATAGTACGACGCTCACGCCTGAACATAATACTCTAAGTGGGGACCAACTATTGCCTTCTAGATAGGGATGAAGACGTCTGCGTTTCTACATGTCAGGGCAACACACAATATGTAGAGCTCATCACGAGCCTTATTGTCTGCCTTCAAACATTGTGCTTCGGGGTTGAAACTCTTCGTGAGAATGACTCCTAAGTCCTTAACTGCCTCCGTGTGCTGCAGTGCCAGCTGCCCATCCCGAACGGTATCGGTTGTTGCAGTCAAGAGCTGGCACTTTTCGAGATTTAGTGGTAAGTCGCGCTGAAGTGACCATTGTCTAACCGCTTCTGATTCGCACTCTAGATTTGTTCCGGCTAATTTCACATCGTTCTCGAAAATGAAACAGGGATTTTGGAGATCCCCTGTCAAGTCGTTGATGTAAATTAAAAATAGTAGTTGTCCTAGAACTGATCCTTGAGGCACCCCGCTTGCTACTCTTGCAGGTTCGGTCAGATAGTCGCCAAGCTTCACACGGAACGTGCGATGACTGAGGAACTGCACGACCCAATTTCTCACTACCCCATGTAATCCTGCATCTTGTAGCTTGAGGTCTAGCAACTTGTGGTTGACTGAATCGAAGGCTTCGCAGAGGTCGAAGTAGCCGAGTTTGACCTGCTGGCCTTCATTCAACCTTTTAGTAACCTCATTCAAAAAAGAATAGCAGGTTAGGCAGACACGATTTTCTCTCGGTAAATCCACGCTGCGCTGGTGCCAAGAAGTTATTGGCGGTTAGGTGCTGACATACTTGCCCCTGATGATCCGTTCCAAGCATTTGCACAGAACGGATGTCAGGCTAACTGGTCTGTAGTTGCTCACCTGATGCCTAGGTCCTGACTTGTATAGAGGAACAACAGTTGCCTTACACCAGTCGTCTGTTAATACCCCCGTCCTCAGGGATTGCTCAAAAAGGATGGTTACCGGATGCGCCAGAAGCCCTGCTAGTGGTCCAACTATAGCAGAGTGTATTTCATCCGGCCCTGTAGTCTTATGTCGATTTAGTGACGCGAGTTCTCTGGCTACATCACTCTCGTGGATGATTATTTCACTAATCGTTGGTGTATCTAACCGCGGTACAGTGGGCTCCACAACATCCCTTTGCACTGGTTGACGGTTTATACTATTGAAGAAGGCTAGAAGGGTGGTTGCCTTGTCTTGGTCTGATGTAGCCAAGCTACCTCTACTGATCTTCCACACTTTCCTTTATATTTTTGTTGGCTTGCACGTAGGCATAAAACCTTTTGGGATTATGCTTGATGTGCTGTGCCAGGTTTCTTTCATATATATTTTCCCTCTCATTGTAGAGCCTGTGCCTTGCTACAAGCCTTCTTGTATTGACATCATGCCTGATGCGTGCCAACCATTCGATAATTTTAAAAGCTTGAATATTCCCATGACAGCATTGAGAAAACGAGTCGGTGAGCAAACAATTGTTTTCGGATATTCCTAGTAATGCTCTTACATGTCATATAGTGGAAAAAATTCTTACATAATCATAGCCATTGGCTCATTTTACAGTCAATATTCGGAGGTAGAGAGTAATGGGAGTGTGTATGTGTTTGCGTGTGTGTGTGTGTGTGTGTGTGTGTGTGTGTGTGTGTGTGTGTGTGTG